CAATATATATATATATATATATTTAAAATTCGAAAAATGTGAAGCGCGCTGTCATACTGAATATCGAACATACACAGAAAGTGTAACATTAATTTAATACTCCTCTTCATATTTCATATTGCACCAATGTTTATGTGTATAACATTGCATTTAAATTGTTCCACAACTTATTAAAAAAGTATTAGTCATACAAACGCGCTTCGATACGTTTACAAATCTAATCATAGACGATACATGCCTATAAAATATTAATAATAATAATACCACGTATTTTTTAATTAAAACTATCTTAAATGTTTTAAAAGTACAAAAATAAACATGTTTAAAATAATTAATTATTTATAATTAATTATTTATATTTATTATTTATAATTATTTATTAATTAATTATTTATAATTAATTATTGACAAAGATATATGTATAAAAAATTTAATTTTAATCTTTAAATTTTTTGTAAAACATTTATATGAAAGATATATAAATTATTTTTTCAAATATACATCATTCATACTGCTTAAAAAAATATATCAAACAATTGAAAGATAATGAGTCACAACGCGAATATGAACATTAAATATAAGTAGTTATTCTTATAAAGTGACTATTTATATCCAAATCTGTAACGCATCTAGCGCATATCCAGTCAAACTCTGCATGAAATAAGAAAGAAAATATATTTTATCTAAAGCAATAGGACGAATATGGTTAGTAGTGGGGTCTTTGGACAGATGTTTAGTCCACAGCGCGAGGGTCCAATCCCCCCTATGGAGAATTGTGCTGAGAACTACCCTCCATTGATGATTACAGCATACGAGTGCAGCATCGGCAGTACCCGCGACAATAGTCCCACTATTGCTACCTCTGGCCCTTCTGAGCTAAGCTTAAGGGACACGTGACATGTGCTCTACTTGGAAATAAACGCATACGAGCGCAAAACACACCACACATACAATACATTCATCACGTCCAAAATAAAATTTGTCAGAGAGTCTCTTGACTGTCTCGGTGTTCAGTTCACTGTATCTCTCGCCGATGAAAATCCATAGAAAAATGCAAAAGAAGTTAATGATAAAGATGTGTTTTCGTAAAATTGATGCATGTGTATATGTGATGACCGTTTATAAAACGTAATTTTGTATAGTTTTGTGCTGTCGTTTGGTTTTTTTGTGCGATAATAAATAAGTGATAAATATAATTAGAACAACAAAGGAAAAGTAGTGCGTTTACAGATTTGGGTTTATGTTTATTACTATTAAAAATTGTTAAATTAAAGGCAATATTATTATTCATGAATAACACAGATTAGTGCAATATAAAAGGAATTGAGAATTTAATGATTTGTGTAATATTTATATCTATATAAAAATATATAAGCTCGAGATGGAAATTCAAAGGTACAGTTTATCATTGAAGGTATAGTAATATTATATTGTAAGTATATTTGATTTTACACACACACGCACGCACGCACACACGCGCACACACACACACACACACACACACACACACACACTAATTA